TTGTAAACATACCAATGAACCTTCTGGTGCATTAATAGGCCGAGATTTTTTTGAGTACAGCAGCGACAATTAGGTTCTAAAAAAGACTCTGCTTCATGGAATTAATCAGTAATACCTGATAAAAAGATACATATAACTAATTATCTCATGACGAATAATAAGTTTTTTCTGATTTTAAGTCTCTTTACATGTTAATGTACCTTAACCAACCGTTATGGTAACTGATCCGAACTGCGATTTTAATAAAATAAATAGTAGCTAACACCTAATAAGGCTTTGGCCCTGATAGAATTTTCTTAATGGGCTCCATATAAGATAGATAATGAAACTCGTACCAGTACAAATAATGCGGTCCATAATACGCTTCTGTATGTACTCAGTTTTACTTTACGGCTGTATATTATTATTATTATTATTATAGATTTACTGCCCTATGTTGGGCCTTGGCCGCTTTTTCGGTTACTTGATCCTATACACTGTCGGTAGGACTCCTTGGACGGGGGATCAGTCCGTCGCAAGGTCGCTACCTACACAGAACAGCACAAATACAGAATAAACGCACACAGATATCTATACCTTGAGTGGGATTCGAACCCATGATCTCATAATTCGAGCGTCCGAAGACAATTCATGTCTTAAACAGCGCGGCCCCTTTGATCGGCGGCTATACAGTAGCCTTCATAATCTTTAAGCGGCTCAGCTAAGTAGCTACAAACGGTTAGAATCGTTCTGTCTTCGAATAATGTTTGAATGCTTGTAAAATAATTTCTTCTTTCAATAAGACAGTCGCCTCTAACTAACTAGTTAAAATGCTGTGTTTTCGCTTATACCATTATCTCGTTAGGGACATTTTTCACTTTGCCTTTCTCTGCTTTCACTGGTTCTTCCAGATGTCAACAGGTTTGTGCAAGGTTTGTGGAATGTCACGATGTTTCTATCCTGAATACGTGGTTTTACTAATGCAGAGCCATCACGTGCCACTGGGTTTTCACAGAAGCATACTCACTATCATGCAACGAATTCCATTCATCTACCAGCTATACAAATGGGCAGTGCAGTTTATGTAGCCACGACGTTTCTTGAAAATTCATCACACAGGGCTCGGCGACGTGACGGTTATAAAGAAACTGAGTGAGTTCCTCATAGGGATCATGTGACGTTTGCCCACACATACACACACGTATACAGAAACGACAGAATATGTTTAAAATTAATATATGTAGGATTTATGTGTATTGCTGTTATTCCTCCGTGGACTTTATTTCGCAAGCGAACTATACCGATAAAAGGACCGCCGCTTGTCGGCGAAGTTGGTGCCAACTTTTGCCGCTTGGTCAGCGCAACGGATTTCCACGGCCTTTAATCTCGGTTTTCTAGACCGGAGTGTAATGCCGTTAGTATCAACATTAAGATAAGAATTACGGCTTCCGAAAAAAAAATGAAATGAAGGAAAAAATCTTATTTTTCCAATGAGAAAAAATACATATATTGTGACATGACGCCTGAAAGCCATAGTAATGCAGTCGGAGCCAGGCGTCCGTTTCTAGACAACGACTCGGTAATCATGTTTCCGCGGCAACGAATATTGATGGTTTACAACAAATAACAGAGAACACATCGTTGCTTAGGTAGCAAGTATAAACACGTTCCCCTGACAAAGCATTCATAAACAAACAATTACATCGGACACAAAAACATAATTCTTCAAGGAGGTGATTCCTATCCCAGTTCCCTGGCAGGGATAAAAGGAGGCCAGTTGAGAAGCCGTAGGTTCAGAAGTGAATCGGTGTGCTTTCGAGAGATAGACATCTTTCCAGCAAGTGTGACAAGTGCAGGGCCGCGCCATAGCTCAAGCGGTTAGTCGCTGGCTTCCCACCGCGGCGGGCCGGGTTCGATCCCGGGTCTAGTAAAGTGGGATTTGTGGTGGACAAAGTGGCGCTGGGGCAGGTTTTCTCCGCGTACTTCGGTTTTCCCCGCCAATCTTCATTCCGCCAAATACCCCTTCATCATCATAATCACTCGGGGCAGGCTACAATAGGCCAATCAGTGGCCGCCATGCCAAGTGGACCCAGTTGGACTTGTCATTCAAGAGGAAATTAAGAGGAGATTTAATTCACTTGGTGCTTGCTACCATTCAGTCCAGAACCTTCGGTTTTTTGTCTGCTGTCTAAAAACATAAAAATTAGAATATACAAAACTATATTTTTTCCTGTCGGTTTGTATGGATGTAAAACTTGGTCTCTGACATTAATGGGAGAAAAATACAGTGAGGGTGTTTGAGAACAGGGTCCTGAGATGTTATGTGGACCAAAGAGGAATGATGTGAAAGAAGGTTGCAGGAAACTTTATAGTGAAGACCTTCATAACTTGTACTCTTCGAGAAGTTTAATTAGAATGAACAGGTCAAGGAGGATGAGATGGCACGGCATGTAGCAAGAAAGGGGGGGGGACGAAGAGGAGTGCATTTATGATATTGAGTAGGAAAGCTAGAAAAAGATGGCAACTAACAAGGAGTCTGGCTGATAAACAAAAGTTCAACAGACTTGTAAAAGAACTTAAAAAGTTAACATATAAACTAAAAATGACTCAATAAAAGAATACCTCAGAGGACTAACCCCAACTGGAGCCACGAATTACTCTCTATGGAAGGCTACCCGTAAATTAAAACAACCTAAACTGCATATATCACCAATAAGGAAACGAGACAACACTTGGGTAGAACCGACCTGCCAAAGGTTACGACTTTTGCCGAACAACTACGCACAGTTTTCCAACCTAATCCATCCCGACTACCAGCAGCTGAAGAGGAAATTAACAAACAGCTCGAGATTCCGTTTCAGATCGCCTTCCCAATAAATAAAACCACTCAAAGAGAGGTAGAAACTATCATACGCCATGGCATTAGTTCAAAAAAGGCACCGGGATATGACCTCATCACCGGAAAATACTAAAAGAATTGTCCGACAAAAGATTCAAAGTACTAACATACATCTTCAATGCAATTTTTCGACTCGAATACTTCCCCATGTCAATGGAAAGTCGCACAAATAGTCATGATTTTGAAAACTGGAAAAAATACAAACGATGTTGCATCGTATAGACCCATTAGTCTCCTACCGATTCTCTCCAATGTTTTGAAAAAAATAATGCTCAAACGATTAGTACCTGAAATCGACGATAATTAGCTCATACCTACACATTAATTTGGCTTTAGAAAAGGTCACGGAACAATCGAAAAAATACATCGATTAGTAAACCAAATTCATAGTGATTTTGAAAACAGGCGCTACTGCTCAGCTGTATGTGCTGATATAAGCCAAGCCTTCTATAAAATTTGGCACATAGGCTTATTTTAAAAACTCAAGTGCGTTCTTTCATGTCCAATGTATTCTCTATTAAAGTCTTATCTGGCCGACAGAACTTCTTAGTTAAATACGATGAAGCCTATACGGAATTATATCCTGTCTTATCCGGAGTTCCGCAGGGAAGTATCCTTTGCCCTATGCTGTACTCCATATATACGGCTGACTTGCCAGAAACCGGACAAACAGTGCTTGCCACCTATGCCGACGACACAACAATACTAGCGTCTCATGAGAACCCTACTGAAGCATCCCGGATACTGCAAACGCACTTAGACCAATTCGGAGAATGGCTACAGCGGTGGAGAATTAAGGCCAACGAAACTAAATCCGTGCACATCACCTTCGCTTTGAGACACGGAACCTGCCCTCCGGTACTATTAAACGGAACATGCATACCACAAGAGGAATCAGTCAACTACTTAGGCCTTCACCTGGACAGGCGGTTGACCTGGCGCACACATATTCTCGCCAAAAGAAAACAACTGGACGTTACATTTAGTCAGATGCATTAGCTAATTGGCAAAAAGTCAGAACTGTCTCCCGAAAATATACTCCTAGTTTACAAGACAATACTGAGGCCTATTTGGACTTACGGAGCACCATTATGGGGAACTGCAAGTACATCCAATATAGAAATGTTGCAGAGATTTCAAAATAAAGTACTTTGCGCTATAGTCAATGCACCGCGGTACGTCGAAAACATCTAGGCATGCACACAGTGCGGGAAGAAACTACAAACATCAGCCGCAAATATAAAGACAAGATAAGAGCACATCCAAATGAACTGGCAACCACATTATTAAACGGTGCAGACGAGCCCAGAAGACTCAAAATGCATAAGCCAACCGACCTAACGACGCACTTCACATAAATGTAACACATAATATACTAAAGTTACAATCGAAATAGATTCCTAGAGCATGCTCACTGGAGCATTACTCTCCCTGACATATTCTATTTTTAGTGCTTAAGCCTTAGATTAAGTATTTCACAAGATGTACTTATAGTCCTTCATATGGACCGATTGTATAAATAAACGGAGATACAAAAAAAATATATTGGTGGGATAGACAGACAAAGAAAGGAACGAATATGAAGGCCAAGAAGGAGGTGGGTGAATAATGATAAAATGGATCTTAGAGAGGTACGATGGTGTGTTATGGACAGGATCGGTCTGGCTCAGAATAGGACCAGTGAGCGACTCTTGTGAACGCGGTAACAAACCTTCGGGTTCCATGAAATGTTGTGAAATTCTTGAGTAGTTGTGTGACTGGCGGCTCCTCAAGAAGGGCTCATCTCCGTGGAGCTAGTTAGTTAGCTAATATGGCCCTATGTAATTTGGTACGTACACGTAGGTCCAAACGTGTCGGAGTAACCTGCTGCCTCTCTCTTCTTCCCTGATGATGGAGGCAGCAGGTTCTTCCGTAAGGTTCATATGTATCTACCAATCTGCATGGCATCACGTCTGAAAGCAGTATTCTTGTAGCAATTTTGAGTATATTTACTATAGTTCATTTTGTAAACAGATCAGTAAATATTTAGATGATAAATGTGAACAAGACTGAAGAAGAGAGGTTTGCAACGATTGGCAACAACAGGGACAACAGCGGGATGCAGGCGGTGATCTCAGCTTACCTTGTCCTTTTCAGGCTTCTTCACGTAGCCTGGTGGAGGAGTGGCCAAACACAGTGTCATCAGAGCGTTGATCAGCGCTAGGACCTGGAACATATATTCGTTAAACTTGTTACTGAGGTCAGTTCTAGTAGAAAGTGTGGACATCAGCCGTTTGCAATTTCTGCATGCTATTTTGGCGGGCGGAATTTGAACTACAGATTATACTAAGGCATGGTTATTTTTATTGAAATGAAATTTCTTCGTCTTTCTAGCAAAATGAAACAACTGAATTTACCATCTCCTGAGACCATAGCAGTGGTTTGTCTAGTCAATAAGTTCTACGACTTCAAGAAAGCCGAGGGCTCATCAGCTTTTACACAACAGCTCGCTATTGGAACTTATCCTGAACTGAGTGACTCAACTCCACAATTTTATATATTCTGCAAAATTTTATAATGGCTCTACAGCCATTTGTTTGACCTTACACACAGTCGGTAGCACTCATTGGACGGGGAATCAGCACGTCTTAAGGCCTCTACTTACATGCAGAACAGCACAAACAGCACATAAACGCACACAGGCAGCAATGCCTAGAGTGGGATTCGAACCCACGATCCCAGCTTTCGAGAGAGCGAAGACAATTCATGCCTTAGACCGTACGACCACTGTGATCGGCATTCTGCTACTTTAGGACCTCTATTATACTCATATTTTTTGGTCTCCAAAGTGATCATTTCTCATCAAGTTCAGGGACCTAAATTCTGTTGAGCACGTACGTTTTATGCCCCGCTCATTCCACTGCCCTTCCTTTGATAATCCAAATATTGAGTGAAGAGTGCCGATTATGAAGCTCCGTTTGTCGTCCCGAAATAAATCGATACAAGCTTACCGATTGCTCGTAACGAATTGTGCAAGTGTCGGTGATAAATTGCTTGCTTCTGAGGGTTCCAAGGACGCTGTTTTTATTTTCAAAGTTAATGGAAATATGAAGAAAAATTTTGAATAAGGATTGGAAGGAGCATTTGTGGTCCACATCAAGGTACTCTTCAAACATTTACAAAAAGAGACCAATAAAAACACGATAAAGCTCAGTGAATTTACGGATAACACTTCCGTAAATATCAGAAAATAATGTAAAAAATATGTCCGTGGAATTCAGTAGCACATTTAGCATTTCATTTCATGGTGTCATCTAATGACTGCTATATAACTGTGCCTCAGGAATTTTGTTTAACGCTTCATGCTTGTCATGGGCAGTAATCGATTGGAATTTCGAGCAGGACACCGACGATTCTGATTGAGGTTATACAGTCAGAGCTGCCACCAACGTCATTAAGTATATCCCAAATAAATAATAATTACATTAGTTACATGTATAAGCATGCAGATGGACACTGAAGTACTATATAACAGAAGTGTTATAATAAAGTGAAAGTTCTGAAACTTCCTTGCTACTGTTTCCTTTGAAAAGAATCTTATGGAAGTAAGGAACATTCTGCGTTCCAAGCAGAATATGCCTGGCAATGGATTAGAACCGTAGTACCATTAGGTTACTGTAACTCTGGCCAGGAACTCGGATGGCTTCCTCCAAGGGGATTATAGGAAGGAATGATTCTGCTGTAATTCATAATGCGAAACGTCAGCGAGAATTATATTCCTTGACTTGGAAATCAAGCTTTATAATATTGTAACCTTCTCTCTGCCATTCGTTTTAGATCTGAGAGCCTCTTCGCAGATGGAAGAGGGGAGATATATTGTAGGGGGGTAGGGGAAGCTTCACTAATTCTTGCCCGCTCGGCTGTCTTTGGCACTCTGTCATATATTAACTAGAGCTGACTCATTATTAATCTCGGGACGGTTGGTTTAAGACAGTGAAGATAATTACAGGGCAGCTGAAGACATTTAAGGCCATTGAGGATAAGTGAGAACAGTTCAGTAAATTTGAGGATATGTTAGGAACTGTGAGAACATTTAGTGACGTGTGAGGATCAGTTTAGAACATTTGAAGCCAGTTCAGAACGTGCAAGGACAGTTCAGGAAGTATGAGAAGATTTCAGACGTACAATAGATCACTGTGTTCTCGGTGCAAGGGCCAAGAAGGCCCACACCTTATACAATCATTCATTCATGAGAAGAGTTCAGGACGCATGAAAACATGCCAGGACATGTTGCAATAAGTCAGGGAACAACATAAACACTCAGTAAAGACTTGCTTCAATGTCCCGCGATGATCTTGACCCTGAGTTTCCACAGCGATGGAAGACAATACGCCAGCATGTGGGTTATGGTGATCAGGTACCGCCTGGCACGGTTATGCTTCCAGCAGGGCAAGTCCGTGAGATGCAAGGTCGCTGTTTGTTAGTGCTGGTGCTCATGAGCGGTTACCGCACTCAACTTTCCTCTAGCCCTTAGCGAAAAGTTTCCATGTGTCCACAATAAACAGAGAAACCTAATAGATGATTCAGTTGGTTGATTTATAGCAATTTTATTAACATTCTATAAACTGAAGAGGTTTCGTTTAAGTAAGTGCTCGCAGATGCCAGTAGGTACTTTCCCGAAGGCCGGAGAAAAACCATCTTCATCCTCGGACAAAATCCGAAGAGGGCTCAGCGATACATGTCACAGCCGTCTCTCCAGTGAGACCGTATAGACTGTGTCTTCCCAAAGGAGGAGATTACCAAATGTACATACAAGCGACTCACTCTCTCTTTCATTGCATCAGTTGTGCTTTGCCCAGTTTTCTTACGTTCGTACAACAAAGGGTCATGTTAGCGCCACTAGCTTCGAACATGCTTAATTGTGTCTAGCTAGCTTGTCATCCTGTGACATAGTCCGACTTTGTCACTGATTCACTTGCAACTAAATAAAAGATAAATTATTGTGACATGTGGAGCCATTTCTGGACAACGCCTGCAAGAAACAATAGAAACGGCACTAGAAGAAGTGTTTCCTATGCGGTCAGCGTCATGCTCAGGGTTGGACGACGGGCCAACAGACAGGTATTCTGACACGTGACATGTGATTTCCGTGGGGTCCTACCCGAGTCTATACAACAAGAGTCTGCTTGTAGCTAGGAGGATTAGAGAACTGGAATTGGGAGTTCAGAAGTTGTAAGAGAATTGTTGTAGAAGAGAGAGAGAGTCAGGAGAATGGGCGTACAACGGCATACAGCTGAGTACAAGAGCCCATGAGAATGAGAACTGAGTCAGCTGTCGGTAGGCGATAGCCACGGGAAGTCAGTGGTTGAAGAAGAATTAGAAGTCATCCGGTGAAGATTTAATATATGGCTAGAAGACCTAATCACAGTGAGACTGTTTTGATTACGTTACCAGGTTACGACTAGTGAAGAGTGAGAATCCTAATGCGTGTTTAACGGTGAACTGTAAATTGTGTAGATCAGCGATAGCGCTGTATTGCTTGTAAGTACAAGTTGATTGAATAACGTATTAATAAATCCGTTCACCAAACCAAACACGGTCTATATTCATTAATACAAGTGATAATGTAATTACACGTGGCTGCCTAAAATTGCCGCAAATTGCTTCACATAATAACTTAATTTCTCTTACGACAATCTTCTTATATTCGATTGTTTTAAAATATTGTTAGTACAACCTGTTGTAATAGGAGGATGGAAAGGCATAATCCATTCATGAATTTACACATTTAATACAAAGCGTTTAATGGCCATGTATAGGTGGCGAATGCATGCATATGTTATGCCATTCTCACTCATATATCGGTTTAATTTTCGAAACTGTTCTATCTGAAAGAAAGAGATGACACTTGAGTCATTGTTCCAAAAGTCGAAAGAGAAACGAAGGGAAAAAAAGCATGAAAGTGACAAATGAAAGGAAAAATGGGGCGAAGGATGAAGATAAGAATGAAATTATTTGCCGTTGAATTTTGCCTGACTCACACCAGTATATAGAGACATATTATGTGCTTTCTTTGAGATATCTGTCAGTCGTTCTGATATTCTTGCAATACAGTCTGAAATATGTCATTGTTGTAAATGGGCAGTAAAAGCTGTACATTGCGGTAATGAATTCTGTCGAGTGACAACACAGACATTGCACTACAGGGAGGCCTAAATTACTTTCCACTGAGTTTGGTGTAACATACACCACGGAAGAGCTATTTCAGTATAAAGTATAGGTTTTAATGATATCTGCATTTTATACTATCTGCTAGGACCAGCAATTTTGAGAAAATAAGCATCTTATATTTATTTTAAGCTTAATGACCATACTTCATTCTGCCGTGTTGTCTCTGTTGCCTGAACTGAACTTTAAATATATTAAGAGTGAATAAATCATAAAATATACAAATGTATACCAACACTAAAAATGTCAGATCTTTTGAAGCTGTCCAAATACATTTTTCCATTATATTTTATTTTTCCATATTTTCTGTGGCTCAGATTTTGTAGGATTAAGTGGGTGGATGACTAGTGAGTAATAAATTTAAACAGATATGGAACAAATCAACCGTGTCCTGATGTGAGTCTTTTTTCAGTATTTATATGGTGAAATCAAGAAAAGCTCACACACCCGTACCGGTCTCCGAACGGATAATTGAACACTGAACCTCCCGAATACCAGAATGGTCTAAAACAACGAGATGTTTTATTGCCACTCCTCTTCAACTTTGCTTTAGAATATGCCATTAGGAACGTCCAGGGAAACCAGGTGGGATTGAAATTAAACGGGATATATCAGCTGTTGATCTGTGCCGATGATGTGAATCTACTGGGTGATAATGTAGACACCATAAAGAAAAACACACAGACTTTAATTGACGCTGGTAAGGAGGTTGGTCTAGAAATAAACACAGAAGAAACTAAGTATATGTTGCTGTCTTAACACCAAAATGCAGGGCAAAATCATGACATAAAGCTAGGAAACAGATGTTTTGAAAATGTGATACGGTTAAGATATTTGGGAACAACGATAACAAATCGAAACCTGATTCAGGAGGAAATTTAGAGGACATTGAACTCTGGTAATGCTTGCTACCATTCAGTCCAGAACCTTTTGGCTTCTCGTCTGCTCTCCAAGAACATAAAAATTAGAATATACAAAATTACAATTTTGCTTGTGGTT